AACCCCCCCCCCCCCCCCCACCACCACCACCAACTCCTATGTTCAAAACATACCCGTTTAACTAATTCAGGCTCAAGTGGTATAGGGTCCATCAGAGGGAAAGTACTTCCAATTTGTTTCTCAGAATTTGAATAAGAGTTCTCTAGTTAAGGGTAAAGAAATATTGTTCACATCACAACCAACAGGGTTGCTTAGGCCCACAATGGTACTTTCGATTGACATCAATTAGCTAACGGAACGCCCATTCAGTTCTGTCTCAAAGCCAGAACCTCCACACTCATCCACGAGATTTTCTTCACTATTTTGTACAAAGGGAAGTCACATGTACTAATATGACATTGTCATTTTCTCAATTTTGGGTTCTCTGTACCTAATTCATACTTCCTCTGCTATACTCCATAAGCCAGAAAAAGCAAGAAGCTTTCCTCTTCTAGGTCTCTTGTCTACAATTAGGGAGAAGATCTGTCTAGCTTTTTTCAGCTAATTTGATACCCCAGAATTAGACGAAGAGAGAGATGTTTATTCTTACTTAATCCTCGTGAACTTTCAAAATATGATCTCTTTTCTTCCTTTTTTTTGCTCTGAACGGCAGCCCAGTGTGCGCCACGGGATGTGGGGAAGAGCCGGACCACAAGGGCAGTGACGAAGCCAAAAAAACTTTCAAGGGTGTTCAAATTTTAAAGAAATAAAGAAAATTCCCCGATAAAGGGTATTCGGTATATGTTATGTACCTCTAAAATCTAATATTTTACCTACACATACACTGTAATTTTTCAACGAATGGTGGTCAATTCACTAGCCGTGATAGGCTGTAGCTTCGCCCATGCACAAGGGTATCTTGTACGCAATCTTACCTTCCATTTCTGCAAGAGTCTGTTTCCAAGTCTGTTTCCCTGGTTCTACCCCGTAACCTCCTGATCACATGGAGGCTAACTTTACCAGTTAGACCAAGACTCCGACTAAACCACGATCTTCAACATTGCTTTTCATATTATATAATAGCAAAGCAAGCATAGTCCGTTATATATATCTTTGCATAATTGATAAAACCCATGAAGTCGTAGTTCGCAAAGAGGTCTATGAAGGAAAAGATTTTCATAAAATAAGACATTTTATGGTGTTTAATTGCCAAAAAAATATATAGGCAGCTTATCAATCAGAACACACCTTTTGTTAATATATATTTACAGGTCCATTCTAATATAGCTAATCGAAATTGTAAAATCCGTTGAGTAAACAGAATTCAAACTTCAATCACGCAAATTTAGAGCAAATACCATTTCCATTCATCACAACTGCCAAATAGTTCTAGTACTATTCTGTTTACACTTAGGGTCAAATTAAGCACTAAAATTTTTTTCTCCTTAATTTATTTCTTTTTTTTTTTCATGGCGGGGATTTGGGAATTGAAAATAAAGCTAGAAATTACAATTACCAGTTTCATTCACAATTTTGATCCATTTCCATGGCATGATACGCAGCAGATTCCACCAATGAGAGTGTAGGAATACAACTATCGGCACGAACCAACACGTCTGGCTTCATTTCTCTACCGTTCCTCGTCGGACTACAGGGCATTGACCTAAGCAATTTAGGTGAATCCAAACTCCTCCTCAGCAGCTGCCTCATGGCGGTGATCAAGTGAACCGTTGGATCCACCGGCGGAGGACTTGAAGAACTGAACTTCTTACAGAAATTGAGGTGACGTGTCAACGCCTCCTCCGTATTGATCAGCCTTTCGCAACGTATCATCTCATCCTTCACTGCCTCCGCACACAATCCGCATATCCATTTCCCTTGATACCGTTGCCGAATCGTCTGTATATAAGCCAGAGTACATTCCTCCGTCAATCCGCAGCATTCGCACGTCGCGAAATCCACCTCGATTGTTGGCGCCGTTAGTTTCGCCGTTACCGTTTGTGCCTCCGCGGCAGCGTTCATCTCGACCGACTCGCTTATTACCGTCGTCGACATCGTTTCCTTAACCGTCAAACTGAAGGAAGGAAAAAAAACAAAATTCACCGTCAAAATAAATTATTTTATACTAACAAACAAAAAAAATCAAAAGACAAAACAATTACCAGCAGAAGTAGAGATCGAAACAGAGATACGGTTATATAGATACAGAAAAACTATAAAAGTTTATAGTTATTTGCTCAACTTCTGCTTATTTCGGAGATTGAGAATTAGTAGAAAAAGAAATATTGTCTATTATCTTTCTTTTTCCCACGCGCCTTCTTCTTCCTTTGTTTCCTCGGGAACAAAAAAAGTAGCCATGAAAGACATATCAGAAAACACAAACAACCTCCAGCTTCTCAATCAGTCTCTGTAATTCTGATTCGTTACAACGAATTTCGTATACATAGAGATCAAAAACAGAATCAATTTGTACTAAATTCTGAAATAGACAAAAAGGATTTTTTTTTTTTTGTTTCCTTCACAAAAAAGAGCTTCTTTTTTTTCCGGGAAGAGTGAGAAATGAAAGAAGGGGCGGAGTCTAAAAAGGAGGAAAAAACTCAATGATTGAGTGGGAATTTGGAGAATCCACGTCAGCGATTGTGCTGTCAATTAATTTCAGGCCATATATTTAATAGATTGCCAGCTGGGCATTACCTATGTTTGGAAACAAATCTCATTTTACACCAATTTTCCTTATCAATTGTGATTTTTTATAATCTTTGGAAATTTTCTTACCTTAATCGAAAATATTAATAGTCTTTAACGAATAAGAATCCACCATAGTGCTGCCAATTTTATGACAGTATATACCCCTTTTTTTGAATTTGTTGATCCCTTTTTAAATTTTGAAATTAATTTAATTTAAACTCTGATTTTATCATATTTTTTTTCCAGCCGCATATATATTAGGGTATATTTAATATTATAAATTTCAAAATTTTCATTTTTTTTAGATTTTCGTATCACATAAAATGAAAGAGAGAAAATAAAAGATTGCCAGCGTGGAATTTACCTATTATTGGAAACAAATCTTCATTTTCCACCTTATTCTTTATGAATAATGATTTTGAAAATCTCGGGAAGTTTTCTTACCTTTATTTAAAAGTCTTTAACGAATAAGAATCCACCACGTCAGGACCAAAGACATGGACGGCCAATCTGTTAAATAAGGAAAATATTAATAATAAAAAGATCCTAATATGAAAATAATGTGGCACTGCCTATTACGAGTATGGAACCAAAATGTGATTCTTTTGGACTCAAAATACATAAATAGGTGGAGAAAAAAAAAAGATGATATTTTTATATATAGTGTCAAAATACTTGGTGCTATACACTAACGTTAACTGTGCCGTTAATGTATAGCGCCA